AATAATAATAATAATAATAATAATAATAATAATAATAATAATAATAAAAATAAAAAAAATGTGTGTGTATGTGTGTTGCCTGACTCTCAGCAACTCTGGGCAGTTTACAAATTACTTAAAATGTTAAAACAAAACACTGAAAACAACAAGAAACAATAAGAAAGGTAAAGATGGCAGGATGACAAGCAGAGTGGTAGAAAAAAAAGAAAACAACCTGGGTCAAAAGGAGGCTTCTGTCATCCTCACCAAAGGCCTGGACGAAGAGCCAGGTCTTCAAGGCCCTTTGAAACATCAGCAGGGTGGGGGCCGTTTGGATCTTGGGGTGAACCTCATTCCAGAGGGCAGGCACCGCGACAGAAAAGGCGCACTTTCAGGGTCCCAGTAGATAGCATTGCTTAACTAAAGGAACCCAAAGCACACTACCAGCCCTGTCAGATTGAATTGGCTAGGCAGATGTTATGGGAGATTTGTAATCCCTCAAGTAACCAGTAAATTTAAATGTAAGTTTAATTAAATGTAAATTTAAATGTAAAACCTCAGAAAAGATTTGGCAACATTTTATTACAATTATCAATGGAATAATATATTAACACAGAAGAATGCTTTACAACTTTTCCCTGGACATTGCAAGACATACCAAACCCTGGCACACATATCAAATATTAAACGTGTGTATACCACAAGGGATCATGAATGATTCCTTCATATTTATGCATTCTGGCTTGACAGTCTAAACTGCATGCAGTGACACAGTACCAAATGACATGCTGATGTCCCCAGTAGAAAAATCTCTGAAGGCCTACTCCTATTTTAGCACAAAGAACAGTAACATGTCCTAATTCTCACAAACAACAGAAGAGGGGGTAAAAGAAGTGATTAGTTATCTGTAAGTTCTTTGAGTAGTCATCTGTGGATTCATATATAAGGGTTATGTGTCCACATAGAGGCTCATTCTGAACCCTACAAAATTGTTTGACAGAACCCCATCTTTCACATATACTATGCAACTTGGCATAGCTAACTGAAGTACCATGAAATCTTATACAATCCTGCACCACTCAAGAGGTAAGTCATGTAATATTCTTAATGTTATTACCTTTAGTTCTTCCTCCTTGTTTGCCATTTCTATGAGCCCAGTTTCAAGGAGTTCTTCAACCGTCTTTATTTTGTCATCCTTTTCTGTAATACTGACGGAGGGAACATGTACACTGAGAACTATTCAAAACTGGTTAAAATAACCAGAGCTGTAACCTTATGCATATTTACTCTAGGGGTGCTTACCACTGAATAGTCTTCCCAGAACAAGATGTAACACAACCTTAATCCATCAGAATATTACTGCATCAAGAAAACCTTCCCATCCTACTTCAAGTTCCCTTACTACAGGGAAGGCATTCTTTTGGTGGGTCAGAGGTCACACTTAACTTTGTGAAGGTGGACAGAGGCTAATGATGTTGCTTTTCTTTTTCTTGTCTTTTCTTCTTAATTATGGGGGGGGGAGAACTAGATTTTATTCTCTTTTTTTCACCAATTATCTTAAGCCTACTTTAGATACATATGAGGTTGTTTTTATATCTGAAAACAGGAAGAAACTGTGCAGCTGGAATTTGGGAGCATATCAGTATGGGGTTGGGGAAATGCAAACTAGAGGTTCAACAGCCACAATTTACCAATTCCTGCTTTGCCTAGAAATGTCAAGGATGAAAACTGAGAACATCTCTATGCCAAGCCACATTTTTCAGAAACCTACAGCCCAACCTCACACTGGGCTACAGAGGTTTACAGCAAAGTAACTTGAAAAATGATTATGAGGTCATCTACTTCCCCATTCCTTACCTTCTTTCCAGTTGCTCCAACAATTCTTTGTTAGCCTAATAAGTAAGAAAGAAAGTAATAAATGTTGGCCCACAACTTTCATCTTAAGATATTCAGCTGCTTGGAATTCAAAATGTTTACATTCACCTAAAGCTAAAGCACAATACCCACACCAGATATTTCAATATCACTAGCTGAGCATTCAAATGGAACCAGGAATGTGCTGCCGATTTGTTAAGAAGAGGTGGCAGAGCAGGCAGGGACTATGACAGTTTTTATGTGGTAATCTGGATAAACAAAGATAGCCTGTTTCTCTCACTTTCTCTTTTCTGATATTTGTCTGGAACCAAGTTAGTTGACAGAGATGAAAGTCAAGTTCTTGGTGCTTGAGATGTTTGCTTGCAGATGTTTCATTACCCAACTCAGTAATATCATCAGTGTAGATGAGAGAGTGATCAATGCCACCAGGTAACGATGTGCAAGCCTGCCCTTTCTCAGGTCTTCCTCAAGTGCTGTCCTACCTGGCATCCCATATGCCAAATTATGCTGCAAACTTTGTGGTATCTGACTTAGTTCTGCTCCTATGGATGTAATAAGGCCACTGTGAGAGAATCTTTCCTTGGCACTGCTCTCCACATTATCTTGCCATCCTTCATGGTTGCAATGCTAAATTTTATCAAACTCTTTTTTTTAAAAAAAAAGAAGTCATTAAAAATTAGCAGAGGTTCCATGAGCCCTCTCCAGCACCTCCCTGAGTGCAGTCCATTTCTTAGTGGTACTGATAATAATAATAGTAGCAAAATAAGTTAACTGAAATTACTGGTGTCCAAAAATTGCCACCCAGACCAGCTGCCTCAGTGTAAAGCTGATCAAAATATCTTTTAAGCTACATGCCTTACTAGTACCATTTTCGTCCAAGCAACGTTTTAATTAATTAAAATTTATTTATATGGCTGCCCATCTCACAAATGTGATTCTGGGTTGCTAACAACAAATAAAAATACAACGTAAATACAATATATACAAACACACAAAATTAAAAAAAAATACGTTTCCCACCCAACTAAACACAAGGTGGTTCCCAAAAACACTATACATCAACAGCATGAGTTCAATGACTCTCTTGGCTCTCAAATATTTGAACCTGTTTCCTAGTTTTAATTTCTGCAGAAATCTGAAAACAAAATGCAGATTGTAATACAGCTCTATTAGAAGCCTTACAATACATTCTTCTTCTTCCATGTACTTTGATAGCTTTGTATTCAGTTTGATTTGAAGAGACCGCTATATACTGAAAAGTAGATTTTATGTTTCCTGAACTATTTATTAATTACACATTTTTAAAATCTTTTTCCTTAAAATTTTTTTTTTGATACCTCTGTTTTCTATAATTATTTGTAAGGTGCCCAGAGAATTTCAGTTATTAAAAAACAAAAACTAGAGTATGAAGAGAACAACAGCAAGTTTTCAGGGGTCAGGGAAAGCCTTTCATATTCTCTAATATATCTCAGATTCAGTCTAGTTTCTCTGCCTTTAGCAGAACCACTTTTAAGTCAATAAAGGCCATATTTCTCTTTCCCTTGTTTTGCAATTTTGATAAAATAAATGAAAATTATTCCAAATAGTACCAATGTGCTTCATAAATTGAGGTGATCTCTAGTAAATAAATAGAATTCTATTGTAATGTACAATATCCTTTAATATTACACTTTTTTCTTGATCAAAGAAAAGGAGATTGTATAACATCTACTGCTTCATATTTGGTGTGTGTACCAAGTCTCCTATATTTGTACAAAATCATCAGTGATTTATTGCATGCCGTCAAGTCAGTGTCAACTCTCTAGCAAACACGTAGATAGACCTTCTCTAGGATGATCTATTCCCAACCTGGCCCTTGAGTTCTTTCAGTAGTGTACCCATTGCCATTGTAATTGAGAAGCCAACATGCTCTGCATAAGAAGCTATCTATATACACCTAGATCTTTGGTCCATCTCAATCTCAGTTATTTTCAGTCAACAACCTTTTAAAATCAAATCACCAAAGATCCTTTAACAGGGACAGGCACTGCAGATGTTCTGAACTACAACTCTAGTATCCCTCCTCAGTTATGCATGCGTATCTATAATAGCAAAGTAATTTAAGATTTAGCATCATAACATAACTACTGTGACTTGTTCAAGAAACTATAATAAAAATGTTTACTGCAACTTGTGAATCCCACAATTGTGGCATAAGATTCAATATGTACTGGAATGGAGCACTGGGCTTACCATGAAGTTACTTTTTCTACCATGTATGAAGAGTATGAAGGATTCCTATTTTTATTCCGGTAGGCAAGACGGAAGAGTTTTCTGTAGACCTTAGATGGCAGTAAAAGGCAAGCTTCCAGCAGTTGAGAGATGACAAGCAGTATTAAAAATAGTTCCATAGCATAAGGTAAAATAAAAACAGGTGTAAATACAGGTTTTACAGAGGTGACCCCCCTCTTAGGAAGTTGTGAAGGAGGGAAAAGGGGTAGATACTTTTCATTCATAGTAGAAAAAGGAATTTCATAGTAAATCCGATGCACCATTTTCCTACTGAGAGACTGGAGGATATCCTTAGCTGCAGATAGCAGAATGGTCCCCAAAAGGGTTTGAACTACTCACTGAGCAAACTTACAGACAAGGTACTACTTGTTGCAAGGCTCTTCTGCTGAAATACATATCAACTTTGATTTGTGAATTAAATGTGTTGTGCCCTTCTTCCTTCGTAAGGCACCACATACTTACCTCACAAAACTCAGCTGAGACTGAGGACCATGTTGCTGCCCTGCATATAATACCCAGTGGGACATTAGTGGAGAAGGTAGCCAAACTGGCAGCATTTCTAATGGAGTGGGCCATAATACCACTGGGGCAGCAGCAGATTGGGCTTTGTAACAATGGGCAATGCAAGCTTTAATTTACCTGACAATTATTGCAGAGGATTCCTTATTGCTGAGGAAATTTACTAGAGTGAAACAAAGATGTAGTCCAAACACTGCCACTCTTTAGTCCTCATGAGCTAAAGTCTGATGTCTCTTTACAGAACCAACTTGTAACTCCTTCTCAAGAGAGGTGGCTATGTGTTGGCAAAAAGGACCTGTGGTAGGCATAGGTCCTGGGTCTGTGGAACATGGAGTTAATCTTGAACATGAATGTAGATTTTTATAAATAAGACCCTTAAAAAGATCATGCAGAGCTCCTCTCTATAAGCATTGACATCTGTTTGGTGGATGTTACACCTACAAGGCAGGCTACTTCTGAAATGAGAAATTTGATCTCCATTGAATGAAGGAGTTTGATCAAATAGCACTCCAGGGCCTTTAAAGCTTACTGGAGGTCTCAGGAAGGGGACCTTTGAGTAAGCGGTATCTTCAGGAGAGCGGCTCCTTGCAAGGATCTCTTGATATGAAGATGTGTACAGACTGGTAGTTCTTTGCATCCTGAGATGACTAATGCCAGCACCAACATGACTTTTGGGGTACAGGCCCTGGTCAAGGCCTGTTCACAAAAATCCAGAGGAACTAAAGTTGCTATGGACCAAATCTTCTTCCTCTTGCTCCAGTATCAGAAGTTATGCCAAGTGATCTCACAGATATGGATTGCTGATACTCTGCAGGGGGATAAGGTAATTAAGATTGAGCCCAGGATCTGTAATGTTTTGTTCTGGCCTGAGTGAAATTGAACTCTTGATGGGAATGAACCATGAAGGGCTCATGGAGAGCTGCATCAGCCCAGAGTACCACATTATTTTCAGACATTTAGGAGCTTTCAGAAAGACTTCTACATTCTCTACATACATCTTGCACAGAACACGAGGCAGCACAAGGAACAGTGGGAAGTGACAGAAGAGCTGTTGGGTCATTTGGTATTCAGTTATCTAACTCGCTACTTGAAGAATGAGGAAATTAACTGGCTCAGCTTGTGGTTGGATGGCAATGCAAAGATATCTACCTACTGAAGGGTAGATGAACCACACAGTATAACTGTAGGTTTCCCTGTGCTGGACTAGTCACTAGACAAGTTGAAGGAGGCCTTGACATGTTCTATTGAGAGATGAAAAATATGACTCTGGTTTGAGGTCTCCCTCATAAGTTCAACTAAGATTTGCAGAGCATTAGTCTGATTATTTTGAGTATTGAGTAGCCTGATTATTTCCAAGAAGTTTATACATTTTAGTGAGTCTGACAGCATTCAACACGTTAAGCCCTATGTCCCCTACAGAGGATCCCTGAACCCTGACAGCAGGCACTGGCAACCAAGATGGGTAAAAAAGAACTTCCAAAGGAGTATGTCCTTGTCAGGGGCCTTAGACATCCATCATATGAAAGACTTTCAAATGTGGCCTCAGTGGAATAAATGACTTGGCCCCCTGTTGCTTGCAGAAGGAAAGTGATGCCTACTGTAGGAAGTATGAGTGAGTCCTGGCCCATGGAACTGAGCCTCAGAGGTACTTGGAGATGACCTAGGGCTGCTGATTTTGAACCATTTGGCATGCATCACTGACCTGATTAATTCCTGTAATTTCAGGGAGGAGGGCCAAGCCTGCCAGAATAGTTCAGATTTGTTTCCAGAAGCTGCAGGCATTAAGCGGGGGCATCTGCCTCTTCTCCCAGTTGATGCAGAAGCCAAGGTATGATAGGCAACAGACTATCTTGCTCACTCTGTTAAAGAACAGAGAACAGAGGAGAAGGTAATCTAAATAGAGGTAGGTATGAATTTTGTTCTAAGAGACACTACATGTGCTACAAGGATCTTTATGTTGCCACACCAAACGGGAGAGTGGTGTATTGAGAATGATGGCCCAGCAAATCTCAGAAACCTCCAATAGATGGGTAAATGAACATGCAAACATGCTTCTTGTAAATACAGGAAGGCTAGCCAGTCCCTGGGTAGAGAAAATCAAGAATGGACTTTGGGTTGCCACATGGAACTTATTATCAGTGGAACTGATTCTATGACTTTGATAGCAAACAGATGATTGATGACTTGAAGCATCAGTAGGTATTTTTCTTTCTGGCATTTCAGGAAGATCTTCATCAGCTATGTCACTGTGTGAAACACCCAGGTGTCTGCATATGAGAAAAACCAGCACTGGGCAAATAAACAAAGCCTGCCGCCCGCCCCCACTGGTGGATCTTGGTAGTCACTATGTGGAGTCCATTTTCTGAAGAATGGCCTTTAGACTGCTGCTGCTTCAGCTGATAGTCTGACTTGCCAAGGGACTCTGGATCCCTGTGTAACTTTGGTTTTGGACAGGAGATGAAGGGAAGAAAGGAATGACCTTGGGCTAAGCAAGTTGCTGTCCACTCTTCTTGTGGAAATAACTGGAAAGGCTTTCTTGTTGTCCTTGGTTTCAGCCAAGATATCATCTAATGATTTACAAAAGAGTCTTTCTGCACCAAAAATGCTGACAGTTAATAGCAACTTGGTTTTATTACTTATTATTTGATTTACACCTCACCTTTCTGCTCTGGAGAGCACTCAAGGCAGCTAACAAAATTTAAAACAAAAACAGAACATAGAAAGTTAACAAACTGATTTAGAAAGCAATGAAATAAATAACAAAATTATCTAACAATTTAAAGTGTTGTTCTTGTGTGCCAAAAAGATGAGCCTCTGAAAGAGGGAGCATCTTCAAGAGGGTCACTCTACCGACCTCAATAAAATAACCAGGCAGATTAATAACCAAAGGTCTATTCTGCTTTGGTGACCCTGCTCAACACATCTATAGAGGGAATATTTGCTGCTGGGTTTGAGGCTACAGGAAATACTTCAGCCACCCTCAGAACCAAAAGCAGACCATCCAGGAACTTTGCACACAGGTTCTTAGGAGATGCTCCCTTCTCCACTATGAACCAGGACCTCTGTTCTCTCTGAGAGCCTCTTAGGGTCTGGGGATGAAAAAGTGAAGACCTTGAGTTACAGTAGCCCATGAAGGGAGCTCTACTGATCAGTCTTGAAAGGACTCTCATTTCCTGGGCTTCTTCAAGATGGCTCCTCCTCTCCTGGGTGTCTTCAAGATGGCTCATGCCATATGCTTGGCCTTACTGCCAACTTGTTTGAGGGGCTCTCAATTCCCCTAAGAGATTGAGAATGTATCACTCCTTTAAGTGGTGTAAGCAAACTACCATCTCTGCATAGTTGTTAAAAGTCCTTTGGGCAAGAGGGAAGGATAATTACTTGGAAAGCCATCAGGTTACCTGAAGAGGCCATAGTTTGGAGGGCCAATCCCTGAGAACAGCACCCCCAACCACCTGAAAACTCTCCTGATATGTCCAGGGAAAATGATGGACTTCCTGGGCCACCAAAGGCTAGGGAAGTTTCATTGAAATAAGACCCGAAGAAATTGAAAGAAAAAATGGAAAACAATGATGTCAAGTGACATAGGATAAAGTTTAGCTGGGAGCTCTTGCAGTGAGCTGCTTATTAGAGCAGGCAGGACTAAGGAAATGGCTGGGAGGTTATTGTGTACTATTTCAGGGCTACAAATGAAGTTTCTTTGGTCCCCCAGTGAAGCAAGGAAAGAAGCAACCAAGGACGCTCCTCAGTCGTAATAGGAACCAAAACTGATTATGACATACAATGATATTGATTTTTACTGTATCAGGATGAAAGACTTGAGAAGCCAATCAGGAAAAGAAGTCAAAAGCAACATGTGCTTCCATAAATGCTCCCTTCAAATTAGATGGTGGCAGCGCTCCTAGTTCTTACTGCTTCTGAAACAATCATTTTTAGATCAGACCATAGAAGAGAAGAGCCATGGAGTAAAATAGCCTGCATGAGGAACATTAAGGAATATTATGACTCAACATGTCTGCCTCTATTCCAAGGCTCTTTGTGTTAAAACAAGTCTAACCCTCCTCCCACTGAAAGAAAAAGGTTATGTTCACCACCTACAGGCAACTAGGAATTGGCCTCAACGTTAAACATCTATTCATATTTTTCAAACTTTACCAAGGCAGTTTGATAGTTACACTAGAAGCTAATCTTTTCAGTGTGCCATAGCACACCACTCCCATGCTCCATCTACAACTATAACTTGGTGGAAACATGGACTGTGCACCAGTCATATTTCCTCCATACCTGCTTCTCCTCCCAATTTTTTAAATGAATCCAACATAAATCAACAATAAGAAATATGATTTAAAAAAATCAAAGAAAGAAAGAAAAAGAAAAAAGGAATGAGAAATAAACTTGGAACTGATACATAAATCTGTAATCTTATGGTGAAATACAAAGAATTTAAACTTTCATGTTGATTGTGCTATCCCAAAATACATTCATATACTAGAGAATATCCTCTTAGGTATATTTTGTTAATATAGCTAAAATTAGAGGTTGTATGGAAATAATTAATTGAATTGCTGAAAACTCTTTATTGTTATATTGCTTTTTTTCCAATTCTTTTAAACACCACTGATATAATTTTCAATATTTTGCAATAATAAATCTCAATTTTAAGAGAAAAATTACAGTAATTTCTTCTATTATAACTTTTATATGTCTTGAGAAATGAGGACATAAATGTCAAAGACTGTTGAGTAATTTTTCCTATTTCCTTGAAAACATTCAATCTAATTGTACAGGTAGTCCTCAGTTAACCACCATTCGTTCAATGACTGTTTGAAGTAATTGTGGCACTGAACGAATGGTAGTTATGCCCGGTCCCCAAGGTTATGGCCATTGCAGCACCCCCATGATCACATGATCAAAATTTGAGTACTTGGTAGCCTGCCCACATTTGTGACTGCAGGAGCGCTTCAACTCCTCCCACACCTATCTCCCCCCCATCTCTGCCTTTTTGGCTGTCCTGCACTCCACCACCTCTGGTGCCCTGTGCTCTGCCAGCCTTGCCACCCCAAGCTGACCTTCTTCTTCCTCCTGCTGCTGACGAGGCACACCTGGCCTGGCCCTTCCCTGCATGTGGCCTTCTCGTGAGGCAACCTCATGGCCATGCATGATTTGGAGAAGATGCGCATGGCCTTGGGAAGAAGGCCTTGCATGGTCAGCAGCTGCCTCGGGAAGGGCCAGGCCAGCCCATCTTGTCAGCAGTGGGAGGAAGAAGAGACAGGGTGGGGCTTGAGGCAGCACTCCTCAGCGATGGTGGCACTGGGGCTGAAGTAGAAGCCTGGGGGTTGTGGCAGCCAGCTGAGACTGCTGAAGGCCCCAAGCCCCTACTCCAGTCCTAGCAGTGCTGGCGCCACCACCACTGCCAAGGAGTGCTGCTGTGCAGGGCAGCCAAAAGGGCAGAGATGGGGGGTACTGAGGCTTGGGGCTGGGAGGGATCAAGCCAGGAATTGCTCAGATCAGGGTGGGTCCTTACCTAATGACCGAACAGGATTCAGTTAATGATGGCAAGAGAAACTAGCAGGTTGCCATCACTAAGTGATGCAGTCACATGATGTCGCGTTTTACAACTGCATTGCTTAATGACAGAAATTCCAGTCCCAATTACCATCATCAACCAAGAACTACCTGTATGGGTACTATGTACCAATCTAATTAAAATTCAATAAAGATTCTTAAAAGCTTGTATACTGTATTACAGCCTTTAATTGTTTCCCCATTGGGCTTTTTTCTCCTAATATATATATATTTTATTTGCAAATTCTGCTGGATGTATAGATTTTGCAAGCAATTTTTCTTAACATGTTGCATTTCTGTCATTATTGTTACTAACATATGCATCGTTGGCTAAAATTTTCTCTAGAAATATCCTGCACACTTGAGGAAAGTGTGAATTTTGAAGAATAGTTAAGTTTCAAATCCTGTATTTGTTCAAAAATGAAAGATTAGTCTGTATTAAAATGGGAAATAAATGTATTTCTCAGCCAAGCCTACTTTCAGTGGTATCAAATATACCACTAAAGGCTCTTCAGCATCTAAAAATGCCACCAAGAGCTCTGCTGACAATAGGGAAGAAAAAGCTCAACATCTAATGTTTTAGCAAGGTCAACTCAGCAAGTTCATTCTCAAATAAACATACTTTGTTTTTGCACATACGTGATTTTTTTAAATCTCTCAACCCGTCTACCTACTATGCACATACAAAAACTGATGGTTGATGGCATGGAAAGTTATTAGACAAATAAAGGATGTGGGAAGGAATTAGGTTCCATCTGAAGGCTTTCCAATCCTATGGTTTTACATTAGGATAAGAAATGTTTAAAAGCAAGCATGATTAAGATAAAGCATTTTAAAAATGCTTCAGAACAATGGAATTCTTTCAACAGGATGCTTTTTAACTGAAATAAATCTGGGCCATAAAAACCGCTTTTACGATAAATGATGAAATGATTGTTTTCAAATTATCAGATTGCTTTGATAATTTACCCATAAAAATGTAGGACAAGAGCTATCACAAACTTTCATACACAAGAGAATTTGGAAAGGAACCCTAGCAATCATTTTGCCCTGTCCTCACCAAGTAAAAAAAATCTGTGGAGCAAACTAACTCTGATTTCAAGTATAACTTTGAAGACTAAAGTTGTGGTCCTTTTTAGAAGACTTATTCCATTAGTAATTATGTTGGGAAAATAAAACAGGCTCATGGAATCACTTTAACTAATCAATATTTGCCAGTACTGAAAATGGTCCCAGAATTCAAAATTTTGCTAAGAGGCAAAGTATATCACTTATTAGGTGTAAAGCTATACATACCTGCAATCCAGAGGCCTAAAAAATGGGTATTTCACCAAGAAGGTGTTACCAAATCTCAGAGCAATTAGAAATATTAAACTTTCAAAATTCTCCTACTTGTTCCCATTTCCAACTTGCAGTCAACTGCACCTTTATGATTAAATTTTATGATGAAAGTCATTATTACAATGGGTTGATCAAAGTAAACCTATTTATTTTTATTAAAGAGAGAGTGAACATCCTAAATTATTATTATCTGCAGCAAAGTATGCCATACCTGCTCAGAGAGGAGAGCCTGCAGTTTCTGAATTTCCAACTGAAAAGTTTTGTTTTGATCCTTTAGATCCTAAAATGTAATTGTCAGATCATACTGTTAATCTGGAATTACAAACTTGGAAATGGTTCTTATAATTTTCTTTAAGAGGAATAGCATGAACAAATAAAGAAACCTTAAGTGATTCCTACTGGGACTGGCTTCTATTATTGTCCTGAAAAGGTATCACCACCACTGTTATATCTTAAATTTGTGGGAAAGACACACAGAGACACAGCTTTTTTTATGCGATATCCTCCTATTTCATTCTCTCAACATGGCTTAATTTATTGTTAATCGGATGTTTTTAGGATTACGATTTTCAAAAATTCCAGTCTGAATGGTTATTAGCAAATGGGGGATTTCAAAGTGGGATTTTTTAAAGAATGAAACAAGAGCAATGAACATAGTAGACTTCAATTTAATAGAAGTTAACCAATAAGAGGGAATGCTGCCAAAATGTGGGGTGAGGGAGGGATGAATTAAATAGTGAAAACAGGGAAGCAGCAGACTAAGTTCCAAACAGCTTCCCAAAAGGTAAGGACAGCCAATCTGGACTTCTCCAGGTAGTTTGAATTTCAATTCCCATAACCCCAAACTTGGTTAATGGTCAGGGTTTGGAGAAGCATAGAGTGAAGGCACCAGATTGCCTACTCCTGGTTCAGGAACAGGGAAGAAAGCATCTAATGCTGAAGAAAAGCCAGCATTTAATAATGTTGCCATGATCATAAACTTTTGGACCAACAGAAATAGGTAGGTGTATGATAAATTTTCAGCAGGAAATTAGGCAACAATCCAGACTGAGACCACATTTCAGAATGGAGCCCATAGCTATTTTGATGGAATATATAATATATTCAACAATTTAGAGTCTTAGAGCCAGTCAGTACATACATAAAATAATTTAGTTTTGGTTTTCCTGTTTCACTGCTTCCTATTCCTACTATCAAGGGGTTATTTTGTTCCACTGTAAGATAGCTCTGTAAAATGCAATACCTGAAGTTCCTCCTTTGCATCTGAAGCTTTGGAGTAATGTCCTTGCAGTTGTTCCTCCAATGTTTTGATTTTGTCATCTTTGACCTGCACACTGAATAATTGGGGGGTGGGGGGAGAAAAAGATTAAAATAAGTTTCCCCTGGCTCACAAGACTTTGTATGAAACCTTCCCCATTCCTAGCTAATGCATAATGATCAGGGCACCAGTTTCTCAAGTAGCAGTCTTCATTGACTTTACCTTTTTTGTATCCGCTCCAGCTCACGTATGGCAACAGCCTAGACATAAAAAAGATTAATACTATTTTTAATATGTCACATCACAGCAAAATTCAGCAAATATACTCGCATCTACTTTTTTTTTTTTTTTTTAAATAAAAGGTCACATTTAGCTTCTGGCTATGTCTGTCTTTCTATGACAAGCAAAGGGACAATACATATACTTTGCTTGCCTCCGAGAAAGGACATGTTGCTTGAAAGGATGTGTTGTCCTGAGCTGTGACACTTTCAAAGCATACTGATCTAGCAAGAAAAATATTGTATTTAAGGTAATACTTTAGCACGTGAAACTCTCCAGGCAAAACTGCCATTTGTAAATAAATAAATAGATTTAAACATCTGTATATTTGTAGCAATGAGGCAGGAAAGTCACCTGTGTTTAAATCCACATTCACTCATTTCAGAGGTGAAATCTAGATCTTCATGAGGGGACAGATGCACACTCTAGCTCACATACAACAGGCAATCCCTCGCAATCCCCTTGCAACTCCCACCTGAAGTGGAAATTTTCATTGTTTCAAAGTGTAGAGGGAAATTGTGTACCAAGATTGGGACAAGGAGAGCAATCTGTTCAGCCTCTGACAAAAGGAAGAAGTAGCTGGGGAAAAATCTGTAGATGCAAGCAGAAGGCTGTTTGTTGGTTGGTTGGCTGGTTGATTTATTTGTCAAATTTATAGAGCTTCATTTAATAATTCATTTAAAATTATTGCCACAAACTTTTGGACCAGTACCAACAGGTATGCATATGATAAATTTTTAGCAGAAAATAAGGCAACAATCCAGACTGAGACCACATTTTAGAATGGAGCCCATAGCTATTTTGATGGAATTTATAATGTGCTCAACAATGTAGTCTTAGATTCTGTTGCTTCAGGAATCCATTTGTATCTACTACATAGATAAACAAGTCCAGGCCAGAAAACTTCATTCTTTATTTGTTTTGTGGTGTGTTCATGTTTCTATGCAACACTGTACAGTATGTTTTCATGTCACTTGGATTTTTTTTTAAAACTGATATCCCTCTAAGTAGGAGAAGAGCAATATTATCTTGTCTGCACAGACTTAAACTTTTTTTTCTGTTAGAATTTCTTTTAAGATGCTGTGATTTGAACTAGTCTGTATTTTTATTTCCTCCACCGCTGAATGTTTTCTCATGATAATACTTAAAAGTTAAAAGGGATTTTTTCATTCTTTCTTTCCTTTTTTTAAAATAAAGTTTGATTCCATTTATTTTGAGATGAGACTACTGTACTGTTAAAAAGAAGAAGTCTTTGCGATGAGAAAAAGGCTACATCTGAATGAGTTAAAGATTAAGATAGTTAGAAGTGAAGAAAAGAATATAAAATCGATTTGTTTGATCAAGGTTAAAACAAGACATGTTTTTATAAAGCTCTGGTAACCCTTTATGTACTTTTTGCTGACACCAGGACAGAAAAGTTGATGATATATGGCTTTGCATAAACAAGGGATGGGTTATGGGAAAAAGAAGTATGTGTTTGTGACTTTATAGAGGGTGATGAGTTATCAAATTTCTTTTTACTTGTGATGAAGACTGAAAATTACTTTACGTATTTCTTTTTTCCCCTTTATTCTACTTTTCTTTTTTTCTTTTTCTTTCTTTGCACTTTTTATTCTCTCTCTTTTTCTGAGTTCAATTTGTATTTGCTTTTACTATTGCATTTTAAATCTTTAATAAAAAAAATTAAAATTAAAAAAAGGAAAAGAAAAAACAACAGAGGCAATGAGCCCCATTACTCCCACATACTAGGTTAGGGGAGGACACCAGGTAAGGCTTCCTCTTGGAAGATAAGTGGCGGCAGCAGTAACTACCTAACCACTAGAAGCCAGGGCATGTAAACCTAGTAAATATAAAGTGCTGTTATATTTATTATATTATACCATTAAGTACATGTTTAGGTTGAATGGTAAAACAAATTTTAAACTAGAGCTCAGTTGCAAAACATTACCTTGAAAAGATGAAACTGCTGTACAGCATATGTGGAGTGCTTCCAAATAATTAATTAATACTACTAGCAGCCTGTACTCTTTTCTCATTAGGACAAAGGGGCTTCTGGACTACATGACAAGCCTGAATCACAGAAATTTATTTTCATAATGGAGTTCTGTGCAAAGATAGTCATGCACTAAATGGATCCAATCAAGCATATACCAATACTCTAATATTGGTGGTCTAATTGTGGCATCTCCCAGAATAATCCTAATTTCTTTCATTGGGCCAATAGCATGGTGATTTTCCAAAATCCTTTTGTTACTAAGAACAAATAATATTTAGCACTGTTAGTGGAATGAGAGGTCATCCTGAATGCTCAGAAAAAGACTACTTACCTGTTCATTTGTGAGTGCTTGCAACTTTTGCACTTCTGCTTTCAGAGACATGTTAATATTTTGGACAACCTGGAGAGGGGAGAATGAGCATATCTAGTTCTTGATTCTTCAATCTACTTTTAGCACACTGGGTTAATATTAAAAGCTTTCCTGTGCAATTTCAGAAAGGCTAATGAAGATGGAAATCAGCATAGCAGACCACATGGGCAGAGTGCAGGACAGAGACTGTGAAACTGACTTACCCATTCTGAGGCCAGATTTACAAATGCAGAGGAATGAAATGGGACAGTGGACTGCCACTTCAGACTGCAGCTCCCTTGTGCTGAAATAACAGACACCTCAAACACTCTGCAGCTACAATACTAGACTTTGAATTTTGTTGGATCTGTTTGCGCTACTAAATTTGTAGAGAGAACTGCTTTGCATTTTGGAGAACAAAGAATGGTATTTCTTCTCTGAATCTGGATCAGATCCAAGAGTGAGGCATTTACAGCATGATGGGATGAAAAGAAAAATGTTTGGAGTTTAAACTGGCCTGTTGCAGGCTCAGAAGATTTCTGAAGAAAAGTGGCTTTATCTTTCAGGATTATGCTGCTAACAATCTCTCATTCCCTGTTCATGTCAACTTGCGTCAGTGCCTCTCTTTCTTGCCAATTTGTACTCATGTAAAAAAAAAAATTAGTAAATGAATACTCCCTCCTTTATTAAGGTATTTAAAAACTCTCTTGAATCTAAATATTAAGCATTCCCTTCCCATCCATGCATAATAAACATAATCTAACTTTTTGAGGTTTAGGAAGAGAAACTCCTGCAGCTGTACAGTAATTTGCAATAGCTGGGAACTGCTCTGAAGATGACTGTAATATCTCCTAAACTGCTGAAGTTTTTATTGCCTTCATTATAAGTGCCTTCATACTTGCACAGGCATGTCCCTTCCCTCGAAGGCTAGAAAGTAGAAGGTACTGAGGTCACAGAACTGAAATAGAGCAAGGAAAGGGAAGAAGCCGAGAACTTCAATGATTTAATCAGCAGTGCCCCACTGATAAATGCAAGTATAGGAAGATAGAGAAGACAGACAAAATTGAGGTAACTGCTATCATTGAGATTAGACAAGAAAGAGGAAGAGGTCAGCCCATTTCTTGTTTACATGAAATAGGAACCACAACAACAGCAGTAGCAGCAGCAGATACAACCACCTAACTAACACAATGTAAGTGCTATTATTTATTTCCACAATTGAAAGGTAACTAACTCCACCTTCTCACAAATATTTCACTGTACCATTAGATCCTCTTCCTTGCTGGTTAGCTTGAGTCGTTCATTGGCTAAGGATTCCTCAGCTTGACTTATTTGCTGATCTTTTTCTGCAATTCTGTAACCAAAAAAAAAAAATCATTAATGGTCTGTAGTGGCCTTCATAAAAGGTAGGCACAATATTCTCTTAAAGCTGTTGCAGCTGATAGTTCTATTATTGTTTTAGAATATACAATGGACACCGTGCCCTCTTAATGAAATGCATTCTTAAAGTTTCCTATTATGCTCTACTCATAATTCTGTAGATCAGCTGTAGTAACTTGGGGTGGAAGGGAAAGGGGTAATATAAGTAACTAGCATGAGCGATATACCTTCCATGAAGTAACATGAGAACTTAGTTTCAAAATATAGCCATTTAAAGAGTGCTTTAGAATCACCTAGCAATAGCGTACTATTTAGGTGGAAGAAGGAAGGGAATACCTTCCACTACCATTACCCACTTGGGTTCAAGACAGTGCTCCATTATTGGGGATTTCATACAGTATTTAAAAAAAAAAACAGAATCTTACTGAAGTTAGAATAGAAAGTGAACACATTACTACAGTTCTCAATCAGCACATGTTTTATTTCCTTATGCTGCATTGTAGATTGAAACTGTGGCATCAGAGTCTGAAGTTCAATATATATTACAGGATTCGGGATGTTGTTTTTGTTCTTCTCTCTGCTTCTGACCTTTGGCCTTTCTGTTCTGATGTAGAGGACAAAAACCAAGCCAGGCTGGAGCATTTAGTCCTATATGACTTAAGCTTTCTTTTGAATTGTCTGGCCTTAGCAATGCAAAATCAGGGCCACTGCATTGCCTAACCACAGTCTTATCAGTTTAACGTTAACCATTATACTAAGGGAGATAGTAGCATTGCAGCCCTCCCCCACGCAAAAAAAAAAAAAAATCAAGAAAGAAAACTGATAGAAAGAGGGGGAGGAGAAACTGTTGAAGAACTGTGATTGGGAATGACGGAAAATAGCTCAGGGTTAGACTACATACTTTATTTTGATTCCATTCAAAATACTGATATATTGCCTTTCAAGAGAACTTCCAGGGCAGTTTGCAAAACTTCCCTCCATACAGAAAGTCCCAGAATCAATTGCAAATCTCTCCACAGAATTGGGAAGCTTTGGCCTGCTGGGTTAGGGTTCAGGAGTACAAAAATAGTCACAGAAACTAAAGCTACTAGAAGTGTGTTTATTAAAAAATGTAGGCAAAGCTTCTCTTCCTGTATCCCACACACGAGGCCACACAGCTACACACTGAATCATACACAATTATATTTCATTATAATGTATTAAAAACAAGGAGAGGACAAAGGTAATTCTTCTCCTAAAACAACATAAAATACAATGCCCTGAAAACTTTAAACCTAAAAGGGAAATCCTTAGGAAGATGTCTGTAACTTCTAAGGGGAATTTGTTACAATAGAGGGTAAAAATATTGACAATTACTCTATTTCCTTCAACAAAATCTCTTTCATATGCCCTCATACTCCTTGCATATACAAGGAAGTAATAAGCACAGAAGCAATAGGATGTCTGGCTGGACATGTGGAAAATACTTACACTTTGTGCAATTCTTCAGCAAGGGCTGAAGCTGAATTCTGGAAGACAGAAGAAACAACTGGAAAATTACATTCTGAATGAATGCATGAAAGAATAAAAGATTTAAAGCTCTACTAAGTGAGAAGACTGCTAATTTTTCCTCAGTGTTAAGGATTTTGTTTCATTAGTGCTTAAGGTGTTACACTAGAACCAAGGAGACCCAGGTTCAAGGCTGACAGAAAACTAACAAAATAAATAAATAAGTAATGGGGGGAAGCATACCAATGAAAACCTATCTGCAGAGAGGTACAAAATAACACGTTACTTGAGAATGATCCACCACTTCTATCATATTCATCTGCACTCTTTCTCTAGCAGCAATTGCTCTGCCTCTTATCCTCCAGCTGTCAAGCTAGGTACCTTATAGTTACCACTCTGAAGGACTCCTGAAAGCAAGGTACAAGGTAGCTACTACAGCTTTCTGTGCAAGTACACAATATGGCCATGTTATCATCTGTGACTCACAGAACTCCCATGGAGTGATGTAGACAGAGCAGTAACCTACTTCAGCAAGCTGCACCCCTGAAGCACAAGGAAAGAGCAGCACGGAGGAGAGGGGAGAGACTGACCTCAGTGTAGCCATGGCCACCTGTTCTAGTCTGATACCCACTGTGTCTAACAGTACGGCCTGTCACATATACCTGGACTGCGATCTGTGAATGGAACTTCTGAAGCTGAGCTTTCAAAGCCTCATTCTGTTCCATTAGCTCCTTTAAGAAAAAGGGAATACAAGCAGTCAAATATTTTGCTCTAAATTGGCAGTGTGCATAAACACAATTATATTTTTACACAACTGTGCTACTAAAATTATTCACCCTGGAAAAAACACAAAGTCGTCCCATGCTGTATCATGTGGAGATTACAGAAGCATCAACATTCCTGAGGTTATCGTGGGAAATCTTAATTCACTCAGAGAAACCCACGCACACTTCAGTGTTATTCAGTGCTGCCTTTGGAGCCATTTCCTAGGGTCTACTACCGAATTTCCAAAATATATCACAATCACATTAGGACCACAAAGTCAGTGTAAAACAGGATTTGCTCAGCCATGCAGATTCTACTAAATGTAGCAAAACCCAGATGACAGATGACCAATAAACCCCAGTGAAATATATTCATTTTCACATTTTAGCATTGAGTCTCACGGTGAATTGGTCATTATCAAATCATCAACCTTAATATGTAGCAGAACCCACAACACTGATGTAGTAAAGAAAAAAATCAAAATGCTAAAGGACGGGGACAAAAAGAGCATGATCCCAGCAGAATATCATACCTGCACCTGTCTCTGAATAGAATCCTCAGTTGTGACCCTCTTTTGTTCTGCTTCCATTAACTGCATCATCCTTTGTTCCAGCTGCTGTTTTGAGACCATTGTATCAGTAAGCTTGCTGTGCAGGCTCTGGATTTCATTATCTTTAGCCGCAAGTTTATTCTGCACATCTATCACAAGAAGCAAAATTTTACTGCTGCTAATTATTTGGGGGGAGCTTCTTATCGTTGTCAGACATGTATGTGTGTGTGTAAGTGGTCACCCTGAATTATACGGAAATGCAGGGCATAAATATTTTAGACATACAGAAAAAGTGAGACCGATGTAGGAATGATCTGGCTCAGAACGTAAGCACACACTTAGCATGAGATCACCTCTCTGGAGAACAGGGCCAGAAAGTGCATCACTCTCTCACATCACTAAGAACAAGCTATTGCACATTATGGGATGTACTCAGTGGTGATCTATTCTGTCAGAAAGCATTTCTGCTTGTCAAGATAGCTGACTTCTGCAGTCACCGCTCCCTTCAGATGGCATGGAGAGACAGGAAGGCTGCAGTAGATAGAAGGGAAACCAGCAAAATGCAGACGCCTTGCTTTGAACCATGTCAGAACTGTATTGGAAATCCCATGTTTCCCACAACACACAAAGGCCTTCAAAGAGCCAGTTTTCATCCCACTGAAAAAAAGTGAGGGATAATATTTGGCAGCAAGGAAGACCCTTTGAATGCACCTTGCTGGGCAGCCTCATGTTCTGCTGTTCGTTTCCTGAGATAGCTTTGCATTTCCTCCCATCTTCGTTCAGCTTCCTGTTGTTGTCCCTTGATGTTTAAAAGAAAGGAAAAGAATATACATGACTGCCTGCATTACTGCATCATCCCCAAATCATAAAAGAAAAGTCAAATGCTTCTTGTTCTTGATAGTTTTGAGTCATGCACAAGCACAAACATTTAAAAAGCAGATCCCTCAAATACTTAAGTGACGTGGAGTGGAACAAACAATTCAAGAGTGATCCTAAAAAAAGGGATAAAAATCTAATAATAATAGTAATAATAATAATAAGGGAAGATGTGACTACATCCTAGTGTTTCTCAACCTTAGCAATTTTAAGATGTGAACTTCAATTCACAGAATTCCCCAGACAGCATGCTGTCATGTATTTGTGTATGGGTGGACACATCTGGATTGTCCACCCATACACAAATACATTTTAACATGAATTGGCTTAAGCCGAACAAGTAAGCAGATCACCATGTTTGCAGTTCCACGCAATTCTGAATACAAATAAATGTGGCAACAGCAATCTAAGTTTAGAGACTGAATCTTGAATTATTCTACAAACCTACAAATCAAGCACTACTGCCTGCAGTCAGGACAGGGACTGATCCATTGTTATAATCACAAGGAAACAAGAACAAAGCAATATACAGAGTCTATACCACTAAACCAGTTAAAGGAATTTACTGGGACAGCTATTCCATTTTTATAGTGTAACCAGTCAATCATCCAGAATTCTTTCTCTGCCAATCTGCATGTATGTATGTATGCATATGGACATGAATATGAAATTATCCCAGAAGAGGGACTATGCAACTTCATAAATAACATTATAAGAATATTGTTAGGATGATTTTTATTCATGGAAATGCTGCTTCCAGGGAATCTCCTTGCTGCAAGAATGAATGTTATTCTGAGGCCAAGCAAGTATCTGCTCATTCTCCCAGGAATATTCAGGTCATTAAAGCACTATATTTAAATTATCTTTCTTTTATCTGCTCCTTAAAAGCTGCTCCTTAAAAGCAACTTTACTGATTTATTTGTGTCATTTCTTTACATTGCTTATATTCATTTATGGTGAACTGATTTAAGAACAAGTGTTGAAGAGTTATAATATCGATTTTATTTTAAAATAATATATAAAATTGTATTTCTAATCTGACTAGTACCAATTAGAAAACACAGTTCACTTACATAGCTTGGTCTAACAAAGTTGCTCTTGAACACCATCTCTACACTCAAATACAATTATGAGGCATCCTTTTAGAATGGCTGCAACACACACCCAGGCAATAAAAGGGGAGTTTATAACTTGTTGGCACTGATCATATGTACAGGTCACAATGTTTCTGTAGCTGGTAACTCATTAAAAGAAGAGTTCACAATTATTGTGAATTCTATTTGAACCAGTTGCATACTGCTTGCCTATGCATCTCCTTTGAGGGTCACATTGCCCTTTGCAGAATTTTAAATGATCATGAAATACAGCATTGCACTGATGAAAAACTGAAAAGTGGCAGGAAATATAGTTTGGAAGCATGACAAAGCAATAGTATAATAGAACTGCCACTTTCACCTCTCCTGAAAAGTCATTCCAGGGTTTCTCTAACATTCAGGAGGGACTTTTCAGAGATATAATGGGCACTAGAAAGAGGAAGTGGGAAAACATTCTTAGTTATTTTAACTTCATGCTGATTTAGAATCACATAAACCAACTGGTGAAGGAGGATTTCAGATGCATCTCCTCTTCCTGAAGCCCCCAGTAACTTCTCAGTAACTTTGTGAGATACAGTTTATATATTCTTGCTGTACACTTAAATAAGGGCTGCAAGAAGTAATAAACAGGTAGCAACTTGTTGGCAACTAGGGATGTGCAGGTATTTGGAAACAAAACAGGATAGGTAGTTTGGACCTGGCACAGGTGTGCTTACCATATCTGTCAGTGGCACCATAAAGAAGCCACACCTTCTCTGGATCTCACATGACCAAGAAAAGACAAAGCTTCATTAAAGTGCTGCTGGCAAGGACTATGTCCAGGATGATTCCAAACCACCTTTCCCACTTTGGATCCAAATACTGCATGCTTCTATTGGCAATCATTGAACTGGAGGGACTACAAAACCACAGTTCCTTTCAGCAGCTCTGAATGCATCTGATTTACATGTTTGGGGGCAGAGGATTTGCCACAACTATGAAGACAAATTGATACTCACCTTCAACTGATTGATGGCTTGTTCTGCATTTTTCTTTAGGAGCTCCTCTTGCTGCAATTTGTTATTCTTTTCTGTCAGCTCATTCACAAGTCTAGCACAATCTTGACGCAATTTGCTGAGTTCTGAAGACTGCCTAGATACAAACCCAAAAGGTTGGTTTTCACAATGTTGGCAATGTGAATGAAGCACATTTGCACAGAAGGCCAAACTGCAGGCAACATGAATAATATTTTAAGCACTTATGAAAACTATTCAAAAATATAATATGGCTATGTTACTGGGACAGGTGAGCTCCTTAGCTAGGCCAACTGTATGTTCCTTCAAAAATAAAATTCAGTTTCCTAGTTAAGAAGCAAAGAATTAAGGGAAGCAACTCTTGATTGAATTTTGCTCTTCTCACATGTACAGACTCTGAAATGCAAAAGCAACTAATGAAAATTTACCTCTGCCCCCAAATGTCTACTAGACACAAAATCTTCAAATTACCATCCAACATTCACCAATATGGTGAATATGCACTTTGAACACAGAAGGACCTCAGCTAATAATTTCAACACAAAGTTGCAGGAGAAATGGTAAAGGCATAGCAACAATGTAACATTAACACACATCAGTTCTATCTAGTCAAATATAAGTCCTGCCTTGAAAATCCAAACCAATGCTTGAATTATACAGAGTGACTTCTCAGACTAGGAAAAACAATTATTAGGGTAAAAACAGGGAGAAGAGTTGGCCAAAATGCTATAGATGGGTTTATGAATTTATTAAGCATTGCCGCTTGCCCTGCTTAGAAGCAGAAATTTTTCCAAACTTGGTTTAACACCAAACAGCAGAACAGAGTGGGATAAATTCCCAGGCAGCTATCTCCAACAGCTGAAACACTAAAACCAATGACAATTAATACTGAGCTCTCTTCTTATCATTATCGGCAAACTTTGTATCAAACTGATCTTCCCTACATTTTGATAGTAGTAGTAACAATACTCAAATTTACAATACTGATTTTTCAAAACAAAACAAAACAAAAAACAGAACTTGCTTTCTTTAATAGAGGTAGAAAAATATCCATTGTTCTAGTCAAAGGATAGAAAATGATATGAACACTACCTTTTTCTCAGCACCTCTGAATCCCTCAAAAACATTGCAATGGATCTAGCAGAAGCATACAATTAAGATAAAAGAGATAGAGTCTCCTTCAAGCTGAACTTGACTCCTGGTGATCTCTTGGAAACAACAAAGAAGCGGTTCACCTAACCTTCAAAATCGTATTATGCATGTCCACAATAATAAAGACATCGTGATTGTAAGAACTTCACAATAAAAAAAACAATTTCGGGTTCAAGACCACAAGATAGATGTTTTAGCAAAATGACCACAGTGGCGTACTTGCTTTCCATTTGGTTTGTGGAAGTACTGACAGCATCTCTCAAGATACCATTCTCCTGCTTCAGGCGACTGATCTCTGCCTCCATCTGTTCACGAAGCTGTTGAAACTGTAACAAGGAAAAAATTATTGAATTCCTTTAAGGTAACCACTCTATAATTTCTGTGGTTCCATATAAAACACAGGGAACTACTGTATACTAATTCAGACTGTGGTCTGTTTCAGCTTATTTCTTCAAGATTTTGAGAAGAGGTCATCACCAGATTTGGTCCCCAAGATTATTTCTCAATTACACATCTAGGAATCTTGAACCTAACTACTTGATGCATCCACACTGACACTTCCCCAATTTTAGCTCCTGCAAGGGAATTAAAACGTAAAGTAAGGTTTCTTTAGTTTTTATGTTTTATATTATTAATTTTAACTGATTTAATTAGTGATACACTACCAGAAAATTTTATAGGGCATAGTTACTTATTTTCTCTATTGTAAAATGGCCACCTGGTTGATATTGTAATATTCCCTTAAAGTTTGAATTGCCTAGGTTTTAATGTACTTCCTTTCTGTTCTTGTACATTCTAATTTAATTAGTGTTTCCTTATTATGTTCCATGGGCAGTTTTTAACTGCAATTTAAATTATTATTGTTTTGGTGCTGTTACTATAAAGGAAGGGAAAAGTTTAGGAAAAATTCTACTTTAAGTCTTCAAAATCTGCAGTGAAACTATAATTGAAATATTGGTACAAACTGAAAAAACCCTGCAGTAATCTAAATCCTAGTTAAATTTGAAATTCATATAAGTTTTTCAAAGCATGGGCATTATCTTGCTTTTGCATGCCCTTCCAGTAGCCCTATCACTGCTTCAGAAACAAAGCTGATACTTAAACAGGCAGTGGCTATGCATTAGCTTAGGACTATATGCCATGTAATACTGATTGTGATAATTAGGAGGTATATACATGTGACAATCATGACTAATGAAACTTCTGGATATGGGAAAGAAAGAATATAGGGGAATATCTACTGATGCAAGACTCAGAGTCCTTTACAACTCATTTTCTCCGTTCTTCAATATTGTGCAGAAGAACAATTACACAATAATTCAGGTTTGCTTAAAATGTTTATTTAGCCACATATCTGCAATATCTTGGCATGAAAGAATGAAAGTCTGCTCTGCACAGAAGCTGAGCAGATGGCCTAGAGAAAATTCCCAACTAGAGATGTTTCAGGATTTTGTTCAGTCTGCATTTTTAAGAGAACAAATCTGATTCACTCTTACCAGAGAAACAGAGAGCCTAGGCCAGCTTATAATTTGGTATAGGTGCTGACTGCTACAAAAAATTATTGTTTGAAATCAATTTGTTAGCCACCTAAAGCAATGCTAGGTGGTGTACAAAACAAAATAGTATATGGGAAGAAATGCAGTTTAAAATAATATAAAGTTGTATGCTTTAAAAAAAACACAAGCTGATTCGTGTCACATGGGATAAAGAAGAGATATCAGTGAACAGAGAGAAATGTAATATGCATCGAAGGGATATAAGGCATGCTCTCATCCTAAAGCACTTTATAATCAAGCCAAAGTGAACATTTTCATGGGATTAGAGGTTTTGACTTTACCTTCATTTTCATCTGCTGGGCTTCTTGGTAGCCTACATGGATTTTGTTTTGGAAAACTCCATGCTCTTTTTCGAGTGTGTTAACTCGCTCTCTCATCTTTGCCATAACCAAATTGCTTCTTTCTTTCTCTGAAATTAGTTCCTAGGATCAAATCAAAGGGTATCTCTTTTCAATACATTGCCTTATTCTGAGGCCCATGGCCAGTGTCCAAATAACCCATTTACACTTTTACACAGGGTTGCGGTCCCCTATCATATTTTCTAGGAATGTCTCAGAGCGTCTGCAAGGCCCAGAAGGCTTTCTTGGAAACATGGAATATACTTAGGTTTTGCATTTTGCTCTACAGCATTTAAGCTTCTCTTTTATTTCCTTTTAATTGAAAGAATCTTAAAAAATAAAATTAGTAGGACATGGGAACTAATAGGTGTCAAGGGGGGTATATGCAAACATAATGCTACCCACAGGTACATCAGTGGGTTCCAAGGCTTTAAAGACGATGAGATGTGGAAGTAGCTCATGGTGGGGAAACAGAAAGAGTAAAAACAGAGCTGAAAGATAGCTGGGTAGGTGGGCAGGGAGGAGGCACTGAATTCTTTAGAAAGCCTACAAGGAAGTGCCAGAACAAGTAGGGAAGAGAGAACAGAGACCATTATGTATGCTTTCCTGACGCATTTGCCCCACCCTGTCTTCACATCTGAAGTGTTTCCTACTGAAAAGATAAAACAAGGGAAGCCTAATATCAAACCTCCCAGCATAACTGTTTTTATCAAAGTGGTATAAATGACATGTTTAGCTGTGTTTCCATGAATGATTGTTTCTCCCTTTAGATCTGACTATACTAGTAATGGTACGTTTATTTATTCTGGGATTCACTGTACCTGGGAGAGCTGTTTGCATTGTTCCTTTGCAACAGCACCTTCTTCTTTCGCTGCCATAAGCAGTTTATCCTTTTCTTGCAGCTGATGGAGCATCGTAGCTGAGTCTCCTTTACTTGCCTGCATGTAGAACACAAAATGATGAAATTAAGAAGAGACTAAGGACCAGATTACATGTCACAATAAATCAATTTAAAACAACAGGAACAAGCTGCAGCAAATTGGAATCATGTTCCTGACACCCATTCTCCTCCTCTAGCTTATTTCCTGATATGCATTAATTCACTGTTATACTTAAACCCTAGATTGGTTAATATTAACGATTACATACAGCAACAGTTTCAGAACTCATGATTTAGTTAAGATGAACCATAAGTCATCAATTTGGAAGGCCAAAGAATGAAGCAGGGTGTAGCTGTACTTTCTCCTGTCATCATACATAGGCATTTCTGAACCAGCTTAAAAAACTCTCCTACTGGGCATGAAGTAAATACTATTATACTCACTTGGTGTGCAGGGGAAATGTTTTAGAGTTGCATTAAGTAAGGAACGGAATTTAATTCAAGGACAAAAAGAATTGGCCAAATAGGACCAGAGCAGGATATCCCCTGAAAGTGCAAATACTGCTGGGAAATAACTTATCAGAAAGCAACACAGAAGCCTCAATGATTCCCAGCACCCACACACGTTCTTTAGAAGCAACTGCACATGGTACAAAGCCCAAGATGTGCTTTTGAAATAAAACAATGAATTTGTTGCATATGTTTCTGCTGAAGAAAAACAGAATTTCTAACAACCAGCATCCAGAAAATGTATCTTATCTGGTGCAGGAACAAAATGGTGACATTATTTGTATTTAGAAGATTTTAAGGCTTCCCTCAAAAAATCTATTGATCTGGTGTTCATAGAAAGAAAATCCAGATTCATCAAGATATTTATATGGATGGTAAACAAACGCAATAGCCTCTTTTCCAACCCAATGTTAGCCTCCAAGCACCACTTACCTTCTGCAGAACCTCTTGTATGACATTAGATTTCTCCTTCAATAACTCCACCACATTCATGGCCTCCTCTTCTGTGAATATCATGTTCTTCATAATCAAGATAAAATCCTTAAATTTCACCTCTGCATTTTCTATAATCAAACCAACAACAGTTACAACAAGAAAGCAACATATTTTTACAGTAAGAGTAGAAGGAAATCTACTGTTCTGTGACATATGGAAGGCAATTTTCCAGCAGGCTTTTTTATGGGAACTAGCAAGCTATAAATATAATAAATACAGGTAGATCTCGCTTACCAACTACTCGTTCAGTGACCAGTGGAAGTTATGATGGCACTGAAAAAAGAGATTTACGACCGGTCCTCAAAGTTGCGGCCATCGCAACATCCCCACGGTTACATGATTGCGATTCGGAGACTCCACAACTGACGCGCATTTGCAATGGTCGCAGCATCCTGCTGTCATTTGCAACCTTCACAGCTGGCTTTTGACAAGCAAAGTCAACGCGGAAGCCGGCAGGAAGTTGCACGTTGTGGTCACGTGACATCGCGCTTAACGACCATGGGTGATTTGCTTCACCAACACAGCCAGAACTGACATTGTAAGTTGGGCGCAGTCATGTGAAGTTTCACTTTACGACCGCATCGCTTAGCAACCGAGTTCCTGATCCCAGTTGCGGTCAGTAAGAGAGGACTACCTGTATTAACAAACATGTTTTATGCCTAGGCCTAGGAAATGCCTGAGTGACAAAGCTCCAAATTATAGTTGTGAGCTCTAGTGCATTTGGAGTATAAAGCACAATTAAAAAAAACCAAAAGAATGGATAATTGGAAATCTACATGCAGAATCTCCCCAAGCATAGACAGTAGCTCTATTGGAAAGTGTACTAGAGTAATTTTGGTTGCAACTATCAAACTGAAGTAGAGAAAGAATTTAACTAGGGAGGTGAAAAAATGACTCAAAGTAGTGGATCCTTGAAGATTCCAGTATATACAGAAAAATCTTAAACTTACTGCTCAAGTAAGGGAATGTTTCTAATTTGCCTGGGCAAATCCCAGACTGCAAAGAAAGATGTCTTGTTTAAGATTGGAAGATGGTATTTTCTCTCAAATAACTGAGAATTAGAAACACCTGTGAAGATTAATCTGAAGATTAGTTTATTGCTTAGACAGGACTGCTTGTCTGGTGAATTTTAAATCTTTTTGTATCACCTGAACATGATTTCTCTCCCTTTTCTTTCTTGTCACTTCTTCCCACCTTATCTCATTCCAGTTTTGTTCATCTCTTTCCTTTCCCTTCTCTTCCCTTTGATCTGGTGCAGCTTGTCCTGTCCTCCCCTTCCCTTCCCACTTTTTTTTTTTTTTGCTGCTGCTGCTCCAGGAAATATGGGAGGAACTCAGCCAATTAGTGTGCTTATGTGCATAGTGTAGCCAGATCTAGGTTCAATTTCACTTCATGTTTCATGGCAATGCTATTTCTCCATAGGCAACTTTGACCAATGATGTACTCTTCTTGCTCTGCCATAGTACTGTATTCAAACTAGATCCAAGCACGCTGTATACGGTCTGATGCATGGAAACTAGTGTGTGTGTGGGGGGGAGGGGAGGGTGTTTGGGTATAGGGAGTGAAGGGGACTGGGACTCTTAAATAAAATGCATGATTCATTACTATCCTATCTGATGTCAATCTGCCTACAGCGTAAACTTTTCTCAACTAAAAAGAAATCCTCAATTTCTTAAGAGTATTGTGGCAATGACTATATTTCCAAGCTTCACAGAACAACCCATTAGTTTTCCTGGCCATGCCTTCCCTTTTGCACCAATACCTTTATCAGTTTCATTCTTCAGTTTCTTCACACTGGTTTTCTGCAGTCCTTCAAGACCATCATGCCTCACCAAATCAGCTGCTTCTCTCTTTCCCTCTGATAAGGCTGCATTATCCATCAGAGGAATGTATGTTGTTGCACGAATCAAAGGTTCATCCACTAAAGTCATAACTGGAAATTTAGGAAACACACTGACAATAATAAATGGTATCATGCATTTAAAAATGAGCTTCACTTGGTTTCTTCCAACTCAGTCTACACATGCTCTGGCACTTTGGTTATTTCGTGAACAGATATTTTATGAAATATTTATTTTATTAATTTTTTATTAAAAATTGTTTTTGTTTATTGCTCATTTTTGATGGTTTTGGATTTTAGTTGTTTTCTGTGTATTTTTTTTTAATTGCAGCAAAGTATATATTAAAAATGCACATGAATTAGCACTTAGAAACCATGTTACTCCTTTTCAGCCAATAGAATGTCACAACTAAAAGACTAAGCTAGGAAGTCTTCAAATAAAATATGTAACTTCTGGCATGTTTAACTATTCAATTCTTCAAACTGTATAAAAAAAAAAAGTCTTCAAATAAAATATGTAACTTCTGGCATATATAACTATACAATTCTTCAAATTGTATTTAAAAAAAGTCTTCAAATAAAATATGTAACTTCTGGCATGTATAACTATACAATTTTAAGCAAGCCACTTTCCCAAGCTTTCCACATCTATAATATGGAAATAATACCACCTACTTACAAAGAGATTATAAGAAATATAAAACTATGCATATGCAATGCTTCGAAAACTTGGAAAGTGCTACAGAAGTGCTTTTATATTAGGATTGTCAAACTCATTGTGATTCCTCAGTCTCTCCAATAATTCAGCCTGAATAAGTCTTAGATTATATGTCAGTATTTGTAATTAATGGGATAATGGCAGCACCATGCACAAGTCAAAGACAAGAGATTTCAACTGATGATTTTCAGCGTTCTCAGCTTAGACCAAACCTAGATGTCATAAAGAACAAATTCACACTTAAGAATCTTACCTTATACACTGCAATTTGTGAGATACTGAGATTAAAATCCTAAACACCTATACTTGGTTATTCGTCTAATGTGGTGCTCTTCAGGTGGCAGCCAGTACTGCCATCCTCCAGTCTCATTTAAAAGAAACTGACTGCTTCTCAAGATGCATTGTATTAAAAAATAGAAGCTAAGAATTGTTTTTAACCAGACGTTAAATGTGCCTTTAAAACTGGTTCAAGCACACTATGCTGAAAACAAAAATTGCAGGCTAACTTGAACACTTTAACTATTCAAAATGTAATCTTGCTTAATTCAGTACACTAAAGAGAAGCATATCTACGAATACATAGGTAAGTTTTTGTAACTGATGTATTTGTAGACATGCTTCTCTTTAATGTGTCCAGATTGCAGATGATTTTAATCTTATATGAAGAATGAGCAAGGACCCTGGTCCTTAGAGTACATTATACATTTTAGATAAGAGACCTGATCATATATGGTAGCCACTGGTCAGCTTATTCTCCTTGAATCTGTTTATTTCCCTTTGAAACTGTGCAAGTTGGCAGCGATCGCTTGTGGCAGTGAATTCCGCAGTATAACTATGTGAAACAGGGTTTCCTCTTATCTGTCCTCAATCTACCAACACTCACTCTGATTAGATATTGACACTATTCCAAGTGTTGGCACACCATGAACTTGTAAAATAGCAATGGGATATTATGATACAGTTTTATATTTTTAATGTAACAATAATTCTCAACATGAAATTTGCCTGTTCCACAGAAACTGTATCTTGGTTAGTCATTGATTAGCACATATGTTAGATTGCCTCATTCACTGTGTGTCACATTAAATCTTAGTTACACTGAAATTATCAACTGTTCAATTCCAAGCCCCCTTGTGACCCAAAGCAAAGCATATACAGCATGCCCTGTGCTTTCTAGTGTATACCTGTATATAAACACACATGGATGCAAATGAAGATAAAGCAGAAATAAACACACATACATACTATTTCATTAGAAATTTGCAGATTTCAAATTTCAGTAGAAAATTCTGATGCCTGCTATGGGTACCAGTGGTAAAGAAATTGAAAGAATTCCAGAAGTCATATTTTGCACACTTCTCCTAATTTGTTTACCACGAGGAGACTACAGAACAAAATGTCTCACTACGATATAGAAAGTCATGCAACAATCTATGCCCTGCCTCATCAGTGTATCAAGACATGCACACCATCATACTTTGGATTTGACTAAGCTGTGTGGTGTTAGCCAAAATCTAGTTTAGCTATCAGAAGAATCCTTGTTCAAGCTGTGTTTCCAGTAGATGGTGCTACAGTCATCCTAAATACAGTATTTACTTTCAACAACATGAGAAAGTCATGAGCAGGGTTGCAAGACATATGACTCTCCAAATGTTGCTGAATGAGAGCTTCTAGTAGCTCCCGCTAAAATGGACAACCATGCTTTTGGACTAGAACATATAAATAGCTACTTTCACCGGAGTGGATAGCCCATAAAACTATATAAAAGCAGATTTATACTGAGAGGTAAATGGGACTGAAGAAGGCAGTGAGTAGAACTAGAGGCCAAAACAGCCAGAGTTAACTATTCTCTCTCTGAAAACCCTTTGTCACCCTCTTATCTCACCCCTAAGCAGCAGTGTACAGAGCTATGGACAGTCTTACCAGAGGTCTGAATTGATCTCTCACTTGCATAAGTTTAAATCAGTTCATGTGCCATGCATAGTCTGCCCACCGTGACCTAAAGACACACCCATCTTTAAATAGCAGGTTCCTTCTTCCTATCTCATCAAATAGCAATAAGAGCACATGCCCCACTTTTGCTGGTTCAGCAGCACTGCTTTAACCTAAACCAGTTTGCTGTTCAACAAATCTGGTCTGATAATGCAGGAAACAGATGCTTCCAATGCTATGGCATGGATAAAACTGAAACATTCACACCACTGCTCAAAGAAAAAGAAAAACCGGCAGAGTGGTTCTATGTCAGTTTTGAAAAGAATCACCTGAGCACCTCTATGCTAGTATCAAGACTGAAGGGACAGCATCAAAGGGTGATTTGTGAAGAGTGCCACTGCTTGAAACAAGCATGCCACTGCTTGACTCAAAAGGCAATCCTTGCTGCCTTACAGAAAAGCAGAAGAAAGAGTTCAGGGATAACAGGTACTAGTACCTACAACGGCACCAGTGTTTTATATTCATTTTTTTTAAAGGGGGGGGGCATTCCCACTAGAGAAAACAGCAACATCCTTGGTAGAAAATGTTTATCCTAAACATTAACTGGAACCCTGTTGCTAAGACATTTACTAGGGGGGAAAAAGTGTCACTACGAAGAGCCACTAAATTAAATTTCACAGTGATGACTGGGATGCCTCTTAAGATGTATTTATAAGGGTAAATGTACAGTAATAAATGCACGTCTAAAAGTAGAAACTATCTGAAATGTGTCATTAAAAATTATCACACAGAGAAAGGAGGAAATAAATAAATAAACTGACATACTGTATGCCACTTTTAAGCTTCTGGAGGAAAGGCAGGATATAATTTCTTATTTATTCAGGACTATTTTATACTGTATTTTTAACTGATTTAGCTTCTCTGTAAACCGCCCAGAGCTGTTTTTTAACAAGATGGGCAGTGACAAATGATATATAAATAAATAAATATAAATATAATTCAAATGAGTGAACATACATTGATTCAAGAACACAAACCCTTACTCTTCTTCTACCATAAGTTAATAATTGTCAGTCATGTCTTAGCTTAGGTCTTCAGTAAGAGCAAAAGAAGTTATCTCATGCCTGTCAACTGGCACCAATGTTCAGCAGACTGATGCTATTTCTGCCCCAAACACCTTTTTGTGGTCAGACAGAGCCTCCCTGGTTCTAGAAACAAATTATTGCAGGAAACTATGGACCCACAGAACTCTGAGTACTGCCATTCTTAATATCTAGCTCATGTATGTGCATTAAATATTTACAATTATAATGACTCATTTTAGTTTGTTTCTTCAGTGTAAATTAAATGGATTCCAGACTATGAAACTTTATACCATAATGCAATTGTTAACATGTAAAATAAAAAATGATTGTTTTTCACAATTAGTAAGATGGGAGAATTCTAAACCGAGTAGATTACATTCCACTAACGTAATTAAAACAAGCACAGAAATCCCCAAAGTCAAGTATCTGCGCAACACTACAAGCTAGATCTTCCAGTTTTGTCTCGCATATAAATCTTATGGGACAACTGGAGGGAAGATAACTTTCCAGTTTCAATCTCATCACTAAGCATATCTGATCCATGGGAATGATGTGGCTAGCCATTTTCCTGCTTCCTAGTGCATTTGAGAAGGAAGGCAGACTCTGAGGGTTGGCATCAAAATTAAATCCTCATTTCCCATCCACACAAGTGCACCAATTCTGATTTGATTTTAAAGTAATTTTGAGATGGAGGTTGATGTACTGGACCCAAATTGCTTAATCCAAGAAAGATCACCCACTAAAGGAGGTTATTAAAACATCAGACATAAACTGCACTGAATTACCATTATCTGTCTTTGGTTTCTTGGCGGAAACTTTCTTTTTCCCAGAGCCACTTTCTTGCTTTATCTCAGGATGCAATATGAGAGGATCTTGCTTTCTGGAGGTGGACAGAACTGAATCATTCTTGGCATCCTGGTCATCTGTAAAAAAAAAAAAGGGGGGGGGAGCTATATCAGGCTTTATACTGTACACACTAATCTATGCATGTCCATATACGTGTTTGCAGGTATGCATGTATCTTTATACGTTTATATGCGCATGCACATACCTACAACATGTTCCTCACAGACATGTACCAGTCTCAGCTGTATGGAACACATAAATTCATATGTCATATTATATGTGATACATATACATATATCAAATTAGTCCACAACAGTATGTGGCTTTGGTACTTTGACTTTAGAAAAATCAAGTAAGAAACTTCAGCTGGAACGTGAGGATAAAACCACCTTAAATTTCAACAGCCAGAGAGAAAATACCGCATGGTCACTCATGCCCTGGTCACCTCTGGGGTGGA